ATATAGAACCACCAAACTGAATTGGTAGTCCGAAATACACAGAACAAGAAACAAGGGAAATACATAACAACCAGAAAGCAAGGCAGCATTAAGCCCTCATATATCAATACTCACTCTAAATGTAAATGGATTGAATTCTCCAAACAAAAAACACAGTGGTGGGATGGATTAAAAAAACAAGACACAACAACATGCTGCCTCCAGGATACACATCTCAGCTCTAAAGACAAACACAGGCTCAGAGTGAAGAGAAGGAAGATGATATTCCTAGCTAATGGCAAACAAAAGAAAGGTGTTGCCATACTTATATCAGACAAAGTAGACTTCAAGATAAAACAGGCAATGAGAGATGAAGAGGAGCAGTATATAATGATAAAAAGGAACATTCCACCAGAAGACATAACACTTATAAATATATATGCACCCAACACAGGAGCATCAAAATAAATAAAGCAACTATTAACAAACCTAAAAGGAGATATTAACAACAACAGAATAACAGTAGGGCACTTTAACACCCCACTTACATCAATGGACAGATCATCCAGACAGAAAGTCAACAAGGAAACAGCGGATTTAAATGAAAAACTAGACTAGATGGAATTAATAGATATATATAGAACACTCCATCCAAAAACAGCAGAATACACATTCTTCTCAAGTGCACATGATCATTCTCAAAGATAGACCATATGTTGGGAAACAAGGCAAGCCTCAATAAATTTAAGAAGATTGAAATCCTATCAAGCATCTTTTCTTACCATAATGCTATGAAACTAGAAATCAACTACAACAAAAAAGCTGGGAAAGTCACAAACATGTGGAGACTAAACAACATACTCCTGAACAGCCAAGGATCATTGAAGAAATTAAAGGAGAAATCAAAAAATACCTGGAGACAAATGAAAATACACCATACCAACTCAGATGGCAGGCATCAAAAGTAGTCCTAAGAGGGAAATTCATAGCAATATAGGCCCACCTTAACAAACAAGAAAAATCTCAAATAAGCAATCTTGAACTACACTTAACAGAATTAGAAAAACAAGAACAAACAAAGTCCAAACTCAGCAGAAGGAGGGAAATAATACAAATTGAAGCAGAAATAAATGAAATTGAAACCAAAAAAACAGTAGAAAGGATCAATGGAACAAAGAGCTGGTTCTTTGAGAAGATAAACAACATCGACAAACCCTTAGCCAGACTCACTGAGAAAAAAAGAGAGACAGCTCAAATAAATAGAATTAGAAATGAAAGAGGAGAAATTACAAAAGATATCACAGAAACAAAAGGACTATAAGAGAATACTGTGAAAAACTATATGCCAACAAATTGGACAATCTAGAAGAAATGGATAAATTCTTAGGCTCATACAATCTCCCAAAACTGAATCAATAAGAAATAGTGAATCTGAATAGACCAACCATAAGAGATTGAAACAGTAATCAAAAACCTCCCGAAAAATAAAAGTTCAGGACCAGATGGCTTACCTGGAGAATTCTACCAAAGATTCAAAGAAGATTTAACCTATCTTTCTCAAACTAGTCCAAAAAGTTGAAAAAGACAGAACACTTCCTAACACATTTTATGAGGCCAACATCACCCTGATACCAAAGCCAGACAAGGACAACACAAAGAAGGAAAATTACAGGCCAATATTGCGATGAACATAGATGCAAAAATCCTCAACAAAACATTAGCAAAACAAATACAGCAATACATTAAAAAGATCATACACCATGACCACGTGGGATTTATACCAGGGATACAGGGATGGTTGAACATCTGCAAATCAATCAATGTGATACTCCACATTAACAAAATGAGGCATAAAAACCACATGATCATCTCAATAGATGCAGAGAAAGCATTTGACAAGATCCAACATCTGTTCATGATTAAAAACTCTCAATGAAATGGGTATAGTATGAAAGTACCTCAGCATAATAAAGGCCATATATGACAAACCCACAGCCAACATCATACTCAATGGGGAAAAACTGAAAGCCATCACACTGAGAACAGGAACAAGATAAGGGTGCCCACTGTCACCACTCTTTTTCAACATGGTACTGGAGGTTTCAGCCAGAGAAATTAGGCAAGGAAAAGAAATAAAAGGAATCCAAATAGGAAATGAAGAAGTGAAACTATTGCTGTTTGCAGACAACATGATTTTATATATAGAAAACCTTAAAGAATCGATCAGAAAACAATTAAAAATAATCAACAACTACAGCAAATTTGCAGGGTACAAAATCAACTTACAAAGATCAGTGGTATTTCTATACTCTAATAACAAATGAACAAAGAGAATTTAAAAATATAATCCCATTTACAATTGCAACATAAAGAATAAAATATCTAGGAATAAATTTAACCTAGGAGATGAAAGACTTGTACAATGAAAACCATATTATTGAGAGAAATCGATGATGACACAAATGGAAAGACATTATTGAAAGAAATTGATGATTTCCATACATCAAAGATAATCCATGCACATGGATTGAAAGAATAAATATACTTAACATGTCCATCCTACCTAAAGAAATCTACAAATTCAATGCAATCCCAATGACATTCTTCACAGAAATAGAACAAAGAATCCTAAAATTCATATGGGGCAACTAAAGACCTCAAATAGCTAAAGCAATCCTGAGAAAAAAGAAGAAAGCATCACAATTCCTGACTTCAAAATATATTACAAAGCTACAGTAATCAAAACAGCATTGTACTTGTACAAAAACAAGCACTCAGAGGAATGGAACAGAATTGAAAGCCCAGAAATAAAACAACACATCTATGGAAAGCTATCTTCGACAAAGGAGCTAAGAACACACAACGGAGAAAGGAAAGTCTCTTCAATAAGTAGTTTTAGGAAAATTGGACAGTCACAGGCAAAAGAATAAAAGTAGATCATTATCTTTTGCCATACACAAAAATTAACTCAAAATGGACCAAAAACTTGAAGCTAAGACCTGAAACCATAAAACTTCTGGAAGAAAATACAGGCAGTACACTCTTCAACATCAGGCTTAAAAGGATCTTTTCTTTTTTTTTTTTGAGGAAGATTAGCCCTGAGCTAACTACTCCCAATCTCCCTCTTTTTGCTGAGGAAGACTGGCCCTGAGCTAACATCCATGCCTATCTTCCTCTACTTTTTTAATAGTGGGATGCCTACCACAGCATGGCTTTTGCCAAGCAGTGCCATGTCTACACCCGGGATCTGAACCAGCAAACCCCAGGCCGCCAAGAAGTGGAATGTGTAAACTTAACCGCTGCACCACTGGGCTGGCCCCAAGCTTAGAAGGATCTTTTCAAATACCATGTCTACTTGAGCAACGGAAACAAAAGAAAAAATAAACAAGTGGGACTTTATCAGACTAAAGAGCTTCTGCAAGGCAAAGGAAACCAGGAACAAAACAAAAGGACAACCCACCAACTGGGAGAAAATATTTGCAAATCATATATCCAACAAGGGGTCAATCTCAAAAATATATAAAGAACTCACACAACTCAACAAAAAAAACCAAAAAACCTGATCAAAAAATGGGCAGAGGATATGAACAGATATTTTTCCAAAGACAATATAGAGATGTTCAATAGGCACAGGAAAAGAGGTTCATCAGGGAAATACAAATCAAAACTACAGTAAGATAGAACCTTACCCCCGTTAGGATGGCTTTAATCACCAAGACAAAAAATAACAAATGTTGGAAAGGCTGTGGAGAAAAAGGAACCCTCATACACTGCTGGTGGGAATACAGACTGGCGCAGCCACTATGGAAAACAGTATGGAGATTTCTTAAGAAATTAAATATAGAAATACCAAATGACCTAGCTATTCCACTACTGGGTATTTATCCAAAGAACTTGAAATCAGCAATTCAAGGAGACTTATGCACCCCTATGTTCACTGCAGCGTTATTCACAATAGCCGAGACATGAAAGCAACACAAGTGCCCATCGACTGATGAATGGATAAAGGAGACGTGGTGTGTATATATATAATGGAATACTACTGAGCCATAAAAAAGACAAAATCGTCCCATTTGCAACAACATGGATGGACCTTGAGGGTATGACGTTAAGTGAAATAAGCTAGACAGAGAAAGACAAATACCATATGATTTCACTCACATGTGGAAGATAAACTAACACACAGACAAAGAGAACAGTTTAGTGGTTACCAGAGGGAAAGAGGGTTGGGGGTGGGCATAAGGGGTAATGGGGCACATTTATATGGTGACTGACAAATAATGTACAACTTAAATTTTACCATATTATAAACTACTCGATAAAATTTAAAAAATAAAAGAATTACAAAAGTACTCAAAATTACAGTCATAATTCTATATCATGATATAAAATTATGATCCAAAAAGTCTTGATTTTACATTATATCTTTGTATTATAGAGAAGGAATATTAGCTCCAATGAACGAGACATATAAACTGTAAGATTTGTGAGTATCAATAATATCTAACCAATAGTTTAACCTTCACCATAAATTCTAGGACAAAATAAAAAACCTGAGTTATAAACTTTGGACAGGGAAAAACAAGGGTCATTCATTCATTTTACAAATATTTATTGAAAACTAACTATTATATAGCTTGGCATGAGGTGCAACTGAGAATACAAGAATGGCAAACCATGGTCTGTGCCTTCAAGGATGTTGACTAGACTTATTGTTCCGATCATTTAGTAATACAGACAAATATTGAATCAGTACGTCGTACACCTGAAACCAATATAATCTTCTATGTCAATTATACCTCAATTTAAAAAAATCATGAATTTAAATACATATTTTTTTAAAAGACTAGAGAAAGTAACAAATAACAGGAGAAAGAGGAAAAGTATTCAGTGGGGGGAAGGAAATGATCCTAAGCATAGGCGACTGGGTATGTTGATGCTAACATATAAGTCGAAAAAAAAAACCAATCAGAGTATATGTAAAAAACTTTGTTATTGTATAGGCTTTCTAATTGACCTACCTATTGTTTCACCACTTGTTGTTGTAACCGCTGGAATGGAAGCTGCTGAATTGGAGAAAACAATGGAAAAAGAAATAAGTTTTGTGTAGAGGGAAAATTATGTTTCTGAGAATATCTATGGTCATATATAAAATGAATCAACTTGAAACTAATGTTTCAGAGAATTTAATCACATAGGTAAATAAACATCAAAATGTGAAGTTAAAGTTTCAAAATCCCATAGACAACAAGTAAAAGGTCAACAAAACTTGTCATTTTATATGACATTTTTTTCCAAAGTCTTCCTCTAAAACATTCTTAAAAGTACGACAAACATAAATTTCTCTAAAATTGTCACCACAGAGGTATAACACTGGAGAAGAAAGTCTGGGCTTTATATTTTTTAATGCTCTGTTGATTAAGCTGTGGTTGGAGATTGTGGCTTACCTGTGCCTGGGCTACTACTTATCAGTGTAATTGCTAGACAAAGGAGGAGACAAATATTCGGAAACGTATGTTAAAATGGTGTTGAAAGACAAGATTAAAAAGTATTTATTTAGACATGTTTAGATATCTGTAGAATGCAAATAAATGATTAAATTTAACAGTTAAATTCATCTATCATATGTTTACACATTTAATATGCTTTTGTACTTCTTTGGCCACTGCTTTAATTACAAATCATTCAATTAAAGTTAAAATTCCTTAGTAAAAGGAAACTAAATTATTTTCAAATTTAGAATTTTCTGCATTAGCCACTTTCTCCAATTAACTAGCGTGCAGAATGTTATTTTTAGGACACATAACTTCTGAACAGAGAAGAAGTTCTTCACTAATATTACAATTGGATGTAGACCCTGCTACTTGGCATTTAGGAAGTGAAGAAAGGGAGACCAACATATTTGCAAAAAGGGCCAAAATGCCTGAATTGCAAATTCACCTTGCTGCCAGTTCAGAAGCTAAAAAACTAATAAGCATCTTTTTTACCTGCTTCGGTGCTTAATACAGAGGTGGCTGTTGTAGTAGAAACTGTTTAGGGAAGACAATATTTATGAAAATAAATTACTTGAACACTTTTTGCTGGGAAATACAGTTCAAAAAACCAGTTGACATAAGCCAAATAAAAATTTCTGAAATTGTGTGCAGAAGTTAAGTGACAAAACAATTTCTCATTTAAATCAATGCAAATAACATTGTATTTATTGTATGTCCACCAAAAATAACTAATTATTTTCTGTTATTACCATCTAACCAAAATCATACACAAACTTTATAAGGTCCACTATTTATGGGCCAAGAAATGAAGTTCAGAATGCTGACGTGATACATTAGCTTTAAGTGATCAATAACTAAAATAAATAGCATTTTTACTCACATAACTAAATATATTACCAAAAACGTAAGCCTTCCAATTTACTGTACTGTCTCTTAATTGACACTACCTCCAAGTATTGATTAACAGGAAATAAAATTCCTCCTTGAACCACACAAGACTGCCATATGGAAGGGTACTGCAGCAGCCCCAAGTATAGTTATATTGCCCGTAAATTAAAAGTCCTAAAACTACACTGCATTTTGCCCAGCTCTCTCTCGAATGAACATAACCGAAATGCCCTTATACCTTACAACAAATACACGAGTTCAGGAGAATGAATTAACTTTTCATTTCTGTGTTTCAAATCATCTCCCAGTGTAATTATGATTTTAAAATATTTACTTCATGGGAGACCACGTTTACTTCTTTTTCATTCCACTTGTTCCGATTATCTAAAAATGTCAAGCTTTGGATGACGATAATTAACTAATAAGCATACATGACCCATTGCATGTTCTAATCATATTCCTAACCTAATTCACAAGAGTATAATGAAATAATATTTTAACATATTTCCTAGCAACTGTTCATTTTTAATTTAAAATTTTTGTATCAGCAGATTTACCAGCATATCTTTCACTGGCACAGAATCATATGAAATTATAAAGGATTATATAGAAAAGAAATCAGAAACACATCTAAAACATAAGGATGATTTTACCTGTAAGTGTTGAATTTGTAGTAGTTTCTGAAATAATCATAAATTACTATTATTTACAGGAATGAAAAATTGTGAAAAAATTCTAAATCTCAAGTTGCCTATACGTCATCGATTTTTTTATATTACGTCTTGCAATGTCTAATACAAAAAAGGAGTACCCCATGTATTCCTTTGAAGTTTATTGAGATTTATTTTTAAGATATGTGCTGCTCACGAGCAATCCTTCAATTATTTAATGCTGTCTGTATTAATCCTCACCTTCCACTCCATCCTTTTATTAAGCTATTTTGACAGTCTCACTCCCTAAATTCCCAGAACCTACAGGCAGGGGGCGCACACGCAGGACAGAACTGCCCCATCTGCCAGTTGTTGGAAACACCTTGGCAGCATTGGTTTTGAAGTGACTTGGCATCAACAAATACACTGGAACAGAACTGTCTCGATCCACTGAGCAGCAATCCAAAGCTTTAAGTACCTACTCCTCTGCTGCTGATGGTCTGAAAAGATCCCAAACCCTTTATCTCATCTTTCCTATATCCATTAGAGTAAAATATAATCACTCACCACCGCACTCCAACTCTCCTGCAATACAATAGCTGAAAGTTAAAAAAAAAAGAAAAAAATGAGGTTGAAATTTTAACTTCTAATGACGTATGTCTCCGAAATTTAAAACAACAAATTGTCTAACAGTGAAAATCAAAACAGAACCAAATAAGAGAGCAGTAAATAATCGTTTCCCCAAGAGCCTGCTATTGATTCAAACTGCTTTTTTGTGTGTACTGTGATTCCTAATCATTTCACTGAGGAGTTCTTGGGACCTAAAGGAATGCTTTGCAGTCAAGCTGCAAAGTTAGTTCTTACATTTTCAGTTTCAAGCATGACGTTACTTGATGGCCATGCTGTTCTAGTACAGACCACACCTCTTTGCTTCCATGTCACTGTCTGAAAGCCTATAAGCACGATCTTCTATGTACAGAATTAAAATTTTCTTTTTACCTAAAACTACATCGTGACATTTTCTGTCCTGTCTTCTGCATTGATAAGTATAAGATTTAACAAACCATTTGTTGATATGTGGATTTGCTGAAAATACAAAACAACTAACATAACTGATATAAAACTGAACCTAATGCTGATCTTCTCATTTAGAAACAACAGAGATAAAAATTATATATTTTTTCTTAGTTTTTTTCTAAATGAAAATGCAAGAAACAGAATTGCTTATTGGAAAGTTAGTAGAGAATGTACCATGTTCTTCCACAGTTATCTTGGATCACCCCGCCCGCTGGTATGATATCATTATAGAAGCAGCTGCACTCAGATAAACTGACGCATTTCATGATGTTCTCATCCAGGTAGGGAGCACTGTCCGGGCACTTAGCATAACAACCTGTAAGAAAGATGATGCACAGTTCATCTCTATGTACTGCAACTCATCATACTGCATTATATATTTGTAAAGTTACTTCAAGGATTCCATGAACTGAAGTAGATAATAGCAAAGCAACAACACACTCTTGATGAAAATATGTAAATTGAATAGGATTCAGATCCTCCTGCAATGAGATATCAACCTAAGAACTTACAAATTTTGACAGGTTTAATGTTTTTCTAAAATGTTTCCTAAAGTATTTTTAAGTGATTAGCTACTTTAATGATGGGCACAATGTTGGACACAATACAAAGCTTTGATATGCAGTCATGTGTCGTGTAACAATGGGGGTACGTTCCGAGAAATGTGTCGTTAGGCGACTTTGTTGTTGTGTCAACATCATAGTGTACTCACACAAACCCAAATGGCATAACCTACTACACACCTAGGCTATATGCTACTAATCTTATGGGACCACATGGTATATGTGGTCTGCCCTTGACCAAACTGTTGTTAGGTGGTACATGAATGTATGTGCATCTTGAAATGTGAATGTCAATTCTAAATATCTATTTTTCCAAGGGTAGAAGACACTGAAGTCATACTAACATGAGCTGAAAGATCTCAAAGCCTGGGATTTAACATAGATGTGACTTTTGGAGAGTTTTTGCACCATCTTGTTTTCTTGTCACTTCTCTCTTTCTCTCTCAGATATATAATGCTAAGAATAAAGTGCTGTTTAAGTACGGGATATAGTAATTGGCCTCTATTTGGGTGAGACTACGTTATATGTTGCATTCTGAAACTACATTCTCAATTAACTACACTGTCTAAGGAAAGGTTTAAAGATTGACAATGGGATCATAGCACTGTGTCCTCTTTCTCTCCTATTAAACAGATAATCTATGTCTAGAGAAAATGTTTCTAATGTAGAAATATTAATGTCATAATAAATATAAATATTTGTTAAATTATAAAATGTAAGACACTGAATTGGAAGAAACTAACAACATTTTCCAGTTTTAGAATATCAATATAATTTGTATCACTTTGTGGATATTATTAAAATATGCCTTACCTTCTAAAACTGCAGAAAATTTCTGGCCAATAACTCCATCTTTGCATGTTTTTGCAGCCACTGTACCACAAGGTTCGTAATGCCAGCTGCACTCCCCAGGTGCATTATAATAATCACAGTAGACAGCTATAATTGAATTATATCAAATTACTTCCATTCATTAGGACAATTTTCGCTTTTCATTTTCCAAAGCATTTTTAAAAGAGATTTTGAATGATATTAACAATAAACAGACCTAAAATATATCATTGCATCTTATCAAGTTCCTTTGACTTTATACGAATTGCCATATAAAGCCAAAATATTTCACAAAAAAGGGAGAAGGAACATCTGGAATCAAAATAGCGCCCTCCTTTGACATCTCACACTAAGGTTGGTTTGAGGTGGAAAGGTAAACATTAATTTTCCCATTTTGAGATATTTTAGGTCATGTCTACATTCATGGTTTTAATGTTCGAACTTACATTAGAAAAATAAATCTCTGGAAAAATTAAGCTGTTTTAATATGTAAATAAGAGTTCCCAAATGAGGTAACTAAAGATTTCAATATAATATAATGCTGTACATAATAATCTGAATAAAATGAGGATTCAATTTCAATATTTCTCATGTGTCATATTTTCTCCCATAATACCTTCCTTTAAAAGGAAAAGAGTTGGCTGATTTCTATTAAAGTTATCACATTCCATATATATCAAGACTCAGTTTATATCCATTTTACAGTTTATCTTGACTAGGGCTCTATAAAAGTTCTCAAGATAATTTGGACTTCAACCAAAAGTAACATGTGAGGTAAACGTTTAAAGACATACGACTCTACTAAGCTAGGTAAGCAGTTCACTGCTCATCAAGTTACGAATAAGAGATCTTTTTATCAGTGTTTAGGGTTTTTCCCTGTGAACACAAGAACCTTTGAAACTAAAATTAAATTTCATGTGCTGCGCCAGTTGCCATATTTTTTTTAATAGATATTTTTTTCCATCATAAACAAACCATGTTGGGATTTTAAACCTTTCTAGGTACAAGAATACGTATTTTGCAGAAAATATGAGAGGAAGATGGTCTAACCAAACAATTTTATCTAATTAGGTTTTTAAAGAACAACAACACATGGTCGTCACTTACGACAGAGATCTGGTTTTCTCCATGTGACACAGACTCCAACTGCACTGCATGCCTCTGCGTACATAGCCACAGCTGTGCAGAATCCCAGGTACTTCCCTTCCATGTCACATGCACAGGCTTCTTCGATACACGCATCATAGTAAGCGCTGGGATCCACCTAGGGAGAGCACAGCACATGAGGTTCTGGGAGCAAACCTTGTTCAGGTTATTGCTCTCAGAGCCAGGCTACCTTGTTGTGGCAGTCTCTGAAGGTGCTGTCCCGGATGATCTCACATTTCCGCACAGCCCAGGCTTTACAGTATGGATTTGAGTCACATGGGAAAGTTTGAGTTACTGTGTCCGAACATTCTTGACTTGTTTTCCAACTGTTTCCAAATTCCAGTGCCCCAGTAGCTACTGATGAATATCTTGTTGTGAAATCATCCTTGAGATCGCCATTGTTATTTCCACAAAGACCACACACTTTGCCCTAGATGGATCAGAACAGGAAATTAACAAGGGAGTTGTACTAGGGATGTATACAGAGATAGATACATAGATAGATAGATAGGTGAGAGACAGATAGATATGGTTATATATATTGTATCATAAATCCATTCTAAATTCCAAATTTTGGAAGGAAACCAAAATCTGTGGATAAGATTCTGTTCTCATTTAGTGCAAGGTATCCTATATCACAAAATGATCTAATACCAAATAAGATAAATACCTTAATAATTAAAAAACAATTACATTCACTAACTTCAAATTATACATGAATATACTGTTAGGTTCTTAGAAAAATTATTGCTCCAAGGAACACATTTAATTCTATGTATAGACCAACTACCTCAAGATTGTTTTATGAAATAATCTTAAGCAAGCTAAATTATGGTTCAACTAGAATGCCTCAGGTTTATTGCATTTATTTTTCACCAGGTTCTATCATCTGAGATTACATTTCGTATTTCATGATAAGGTTGATTCTCCCATTTTCCCCCTATGAATATGTCTCTAATTCTGAGTAACAGAAATGATTTTGCTTCCCCATTAACCAATTTTTAGTGATATACATACATTCCAGCTTGGATCCAATATCACAGACATTCTTGTATTTTTGTCCCAAATTATGGTTATTCCATTTAAAAATTTCACAATCAAGTACAGGCCAACGGTATGTACAGAGTATGTATTTCCATTCGGTTCACATTCCTTGCTTTCTGTAGTTTTGGCTGCTGTTACTTTGCCATCATGCAAGACAATATTCTGATCCTGTAAATTAAAAGACAGACTTACCGTAACTTCAGTTTTATTTGGCTGCTCATAATCTGAGAGAAAAGGTAAATGAAAAGAAACAGTACTGTACCTGAAAAGCAACTACGATTTTTCTTGAGCATGTAAGCCCATCTTCACAGCATGGGACACTTTCAGTTAAAATACGGAATGTGCCATTTTGACTACCACAATAATCCTTTGAAAATTAAATGATAATGATAGTTTATTAATATCAGGGACATGGAACTCAATTACAATATTTGTATCAGGCAAATATTTCTTACACAGTGAACCTTTAAACTCAATAAATGACCATATGCTGTGCTATGGAATTTCCCAAAGACAATGGGTAGGTAGCATTTATGAGCAGGCAGCCTCGGCTGGGTAGAAACTAGTTAACTTGCTTTGACTCAGCCCTTTTCCCATTAATTCTATAGAAGTTTATAATTATACCATAGATATATAAGTATTTAAATTGTGTAAGTTTAGAAACAGATTTATTTCTAGGCTCCATAAATAGCTAGACAAAGGTGGGTTTTTTCCTCAGTGATTTTTATGAAACTTGATATTCAATCACAACTAATGCATAAATACAAAACAATCTAAATTTCACTCATTAGATGTTACTTAGGAAGCAGTTTAGCTGTATGAAACAAGCATGAACTCTGGAATCAGACAAATCTAGGTTTGAATATGGCATTTTCTACCAGTAGTTTATGTTGCTTTGTCTCTCTGAGCCTCGCTTTCTTCATTTGCGTCATAGGAATAATAATATCAGCCTTTTAGTATTGTAACGATTAAATGTAATAAAATGAAGCTCTCAGAAAACGGTAACTGTCATTGTTGCTGATACTGCTGCTGTTAAATAATATCTGACATTTATTGAGCACTTATTATGTACTCCAATATTTGCCCTAATTTGGTTTCAAGTAGGGACTATTTCCATCTCTATTTTACAGAGAAGGAAACACACAGAGAAGTTAAGGAATGTGCCCAAAGTCAGGCATCTGAGAAATGGTAGAACCAGGATTGAAAGCTAGGCTTACTGTCTCCAGAGTTAAGTTAACATTAAGGCAGGTTACATTTTTCTGTCTTTGAGAAATATTTGACACCATTTTTTTAAATTTCACAATTTGAGAGTAAAATTCTCCAGAGCTCATCTACAAATAAATAATAATTAAGAAGTATTAAAAATTGGGATAAAACACACTTGTAATTACCTCAAGAAATGTGTACTGGCAGAGACCATCAAAGCTGTAACTTTTTCCATCAAAAGTTTGAACATGACCTTCCCCATAGATGTGGCAGGTGGTCTGACACTCATTTTGTGTACAGTTCCAGGATCCTTTTATACAAGTACTAAAAGAAAATAATGACAGAGTGTGGTGATTAGATTATGCCAGGAATGGTATACTCATATCATTTTTAAAGTCATAAAGACTTTACTCATAAACACTCATAAAGAAGCACAAAACGATGTTTCATAGTGACTTAAAATTTGCAGTTGTCATTATAGTATATGATATTCATCATATATAATGCTATATACAGGTTGTATTTTTAAAAATAGCATTTTTTCTAACTACATTTGACCATTATTTTTTCAAATATCCCAAAATATAACTTCTTTCCTATAAAAATAAGAGCAGACCGTACACTTTCTAATATCCCAAACAAATAAAATAGTAATCTTTTATAATGCACCATTTGTTGCAGCCAACTGAGGTGACACTTCCTTGGTCATATTCTCGTCCACCAAAAGAGCATGGGCAGTCATCGGGAAAGACACAGTTCCCTTTAGAATTTCGAACCATTCCTACTGGACAGTAGCACCCACGTTTACAAGGCAAGTTTTCCTACAGGAATAAATATAAAATATACACCATGAGGCACTGCTCTAAACACATAACATTACCAGTATTAATTTACAATACATAAAAATAGCAGGTACACTTTTAGAGTCAGCATTTGACAAGTCAAAATAACACACAATAAGTAATATGGGGGCCGGCCTGGTGGCATAGTGGTTAAGTTCACGTGCTCCACTTCAGTGGCCCAGGGTTTGCTGGTTCAGATCCTGGGCACGGACTTACACACTGCTCATCAAGCCATGCTATGGCGGCATCCCACATAGAGGAACTAGAAGGACTTACAACTAGGAAATACAGCTATGTTCTGGGGCCTTGGGGAGAAAAAAATCCTCTTAAAAAAATAAATTAAATAAATAATATGACCTTCTAATTATTTTTCCTTAAAGCTTTAGTTTCCCTCTACCTTGAAACAACTAAAAGTTTTAAAAAGCCACGCTCTAATGCCATGTTACTTACTTCAAAACTAGGTATGTTCCGAGTGCTGCATGTGCTGTCAACTCTTCTCTGTGCCTTAGGATCACTGCAGTCAACATACTCAGCCCCTCCCGAACAATTCTCTGCCAGATAAAGGAAGTTGTTAGTCAAGGGCCTCCTGATGTGCTTATTTTAACCAAAGTAGATATTTTAAACTTGCATCATGATTTCAACACTTACGCGGGGTTAAATTAATGGGAATCTGGCAAAGAAGAATTCCATCCCGACAGACACTAGAAATAAAAGAAAACGGTACATTGAAGCATCAAATTTCAATGACAACTTCTTAATACACTGTTACAGCATCTCTAACTGCTCATCCTTAAACCACCTGTGTTATCACAAGTCGTTAGATGAATGAGACCCAGAAGATAGATAACAGGTAACAAATTATAAGATACAGCCTTCTGTGTATTATAGGAATGTACAAACAAGGTTCTATGAACATTAGAGAAAACTTCACGGAAAAGATGGCTGGATCTTGATGGATTAGTAAGATTCAATAGATACTGCTGCTAAGATACAAAGCTGCTACATAGGAAAGAAGAAGGTATGCTCCAATGACATGTTTGGATAGAAGGTGGGATGCATGATAAACAGAAGTTGTAGAAGTAAGTTGGGGCCAGATTTTGAATGGTCTTAAATGACATGCAAGTTTGTTTCTAATTTTCAGGCATCTATCACCAGTAAAGTTTCTGAGCAGCTGAGCGGCACCATCAGAATAGTGCTTTAGGTTAGATACTCTAGCGGTAGAGCAGAAAACAGGAGATAGAAAGAGACAGGGCAAAGAACTGTCATGTTAGCTATCACAGTAGTGCCAGTAAGGGCTCATGGGGGTCTGAAATAGGGTAATGATGAAGGAAACCATAATTTAGAGGTGCTAGCCTAAATTGCATTAAAAAGATAATCTACTTCTACTGAGAAGGTATCATTATCAAATCCCAGCCAAATGTTTTGTGTGCTTTGACGGAAGGGGTTTGTTATCTACACTCTCCTTCTAAATGGCCAAAAAAACCCATTCATTACTAATTGATCACTTCATGGAACTAAAGAAAAGAGCGAAGGCACATCCATCATTTTTGGATTGGCTACTTCATTTTTGCAGTTACATTGTTGAGAATTGCTATGTCTGTCTACGGAATTAGAACTATGGATAAATTACTTTGTCCCAAACTGCAGAAATCACAACCTCTTTAGGCCTTACAAAAAGTCACAATTCTTCAGCTTCTCCTACTGCCCAGGAACTAAGTTTAAATTCTTGAGTATGGCCTGGCCACTGTATACATTTCCAGTCCAATCCTATGCAACAACAACCTACACGTGCAATACTTTTTCAAGCATTTCCTACATTAGTGCATTCTGTTTACTCTACTGGAAATCACTCTTCACATCTCAATTTTGTCTTGAAAAGGATTCAAATTCTGGTCTCCTCTGAGACGTGTTCCTTATTTCCTCAGGTAGCAACCGGCCCTTTCTGCTACCATATTATAGTATACAAACCTCCTTGCAATAGTCAGTATCCTGCTTACTCTGTGAGTCCAAGACAATGTTCACTCATCTTTGTAACTCCAGCACTCAACCCAAGGCCTCCCACACAGTAGATATTTATTTAATAAGTGTTTGTTGAATGATGAATGCTGACAGATAACTAGAAAGCATTGCCTGAATATGAAATCGTTTTGCATTGTCTGCATTTAGGAGCTGCTAGAATGTTTTTCTACTGGTATTTAAAACCAAACATGAGTAGGATAAATCAGTTATAGCCATTATGATGCAGTGAACACTCCAGAACAAAGGGGGAAGTATTAACCTTAATAAGAAATACAAAATTAAAAAGATGACAGATCTAAAGCAGACTTCATACCAGCAAAAGACTATTTCTCTGAAAAGGACAGTCCCTTAATTTCAAAGTTATAACAAGTGTATATGTAAATCTCCCTACCAATTATTGTCATCAATTTGAATGAGTTTTCCTGGTTGTATGACCTCATCATTTATGTAGCAGTCACACTGAGATTTTGCAACACAATTTCCTTCATTATTCTGGTACATTCCATCAGGGCAAGTGCATCCATCAACTGGAACATCTTCTACATCACAGCTCCTATCTCTCTCTGACAATGATCGGCAAGAACTATTGCAGGCTTTTACATTGTACTTGAAAACTAGGCCACTTGGACAAGAGTGATCTGTTGGAATAGGGATAAAAAAGTAGTAAATATGTATACGTCCAGGAAAACGAGCAATTTTACTTCAAGCTAATGTTTATAGATATTATAGGGAATTATTCATAATTGAACTTAAGAATAATCAAGAAAAGGTACTTGCTGTTCATTAGTTTTTTTCATTCTTTTTTTTTTTCCAGTTAATATTGAGTCTCTACTATATCTTTACACGTTCAGCTGGGGATGAAGCCCATAAATAAGACAGATAAAACATTGCTGTCATGTGGATTATATTCATTCCTAGGGGAAGGACAATTGTGGTACATGCTATAAAGAAGCAAGACAGGAAGCTCTAAGTGTGTACAACTGGGAAGCTGCTCTTCGGGAAGAGGAGGAGTAGATGCACAGCATGAAGGGAGCCAAGAGAAAGGTAATTCTATGTCTGGGGAACAGCCTAAATTAGAAGAGGAGGAAATTATTTCAAAGAGCAAGTAGAAGAATAGAAGCTATAAGCCCAGAGACAGAACAGAGGTTGGAACTTGCAAGAGCCTCTTAAGAAGTTTCGTCTTCAGCCTTAGAGCAATGAGAAGCCATTGACTTGTGTTATACTGGAAAGCCACATGATCAGATTGGTTTTATGTGGTTTTACTTTAAAGATTACACTGATATCTCCGTAGAAAATGGATTAGAAGGAACCAAGAGTGGATACTGAAAGAGGCGATTGCTATCACCCAGGAGAAAAAATGTTGGTTTCTTGAACTAGGTTGGTGGCAATAAAGATGGAGAGATGTGACTGGATTTGAGAGAAATTTTAGAGGTGAACGTGACAGACCTATTGATTGAGTAGATGTGGGCTATGAAGTATTAAGTATGATCTACAAGAGACGTGTTTCTTTGAAGTATTTTTTTTTAGCAAATCAAGAATTTTTCTGAAGTCGTATTCAAATTGTACAATAAATATTTTAAAACAAAGCAAGATTTTATAAATGTAGTAGTAGAACATCTAACTTAATTTTTTTCAAAATAAGGTATTAATATTTGACTATCATTTAAAAGTACAGTAGGAAGCAGAACTTTATTTAAATTTCAGCATATAATAATAAACAGAAACATATTTATATATAAATATATATATTCTGTTCTTGTTTAAATATGAATATATTAAATCAAGATAAAAGAAATAACTCAGGAAGTAAAAATGCAAAGATTGCTCAAACATATTTTTAGGAAAGCAGACAGTCATCTTTGAAAGAACCAAGTTCAAATTTGTAAATATATGTGCCTAAACTGCACATGTGCCCACACACACAAAACGATAGTAAAACTGAGAAGGAAGAGTTATTCAGAGCCCCTCTCCCACTCACCACATCGGCCGGCTCTCCATCCCACTATGTACGTTTCCTTCTCTGCGCATGCTTTCACATAGTTGCCTAACACTGTACACAGGCAATCTTGACTGTTTTCACAAGTACAGGTGTATTTTTTGCATTCCTTTAAAATAAGAAAAAAATCTACATTACACTAAGAAAATATTCATAACAGGTAAACTGGGCATAATAATTCAGTTCATAACCACTCCTCCTCCCGGAAAAAAACATTTGTCTTTGAAACTTTTGGAAATATTTCTTTTCAAAAATATGCAAAATAGCAAATCAATTATTGACTGAGTTTTCAAAGAACTTATAAAAGACAGAAAGAGATATTTAAGATTTTCCTCACTTGCTGTTGTCTTCCAGTAGCACTTTTTTTAAATTGGTGTATCTAACAACTGAATAAATTAGTGGAATCCAATATTAAATTGAAACATACATCTTAATCTACTGACAAAGGCTGTTATTTGAAAATTTTTAATATCTACATGCTTCTTTTGACATTATGAAATATTTCTCAAAAAAAGCTGTAATGTTAGACCCTCGCATACCTCATGATATGTTTTAGGGTTCACAATTGCATGGCAGGAAGCAAAAGGCCCGCCTGAATCAAGAAGAATTCCACAGTAGCTGTCAGCAAATTTTTCTGGAAGAAAATTAATGCACCCAAAATTAGCATCGATATTGTCATAATTGTTTAATTGAAAGAAAAAGTGTAAATTTTTAAGAGAGTTTTGGCTTTATTAAAACAATTGTGTTTTAAACTGTTTTGCTATAAGAAATCTAAGCTGTTATCCACTACATACAAAAACAGTAGGATATAATCAGAAACACCTTAAACTGAGAGGCAAAATCTTTGTTAGTTCTGGACTTTTGTATTAAATCAGTGAACCTTTTTCTGAAATGCACTTTCTATATAAAAATGGGAATAAGGAAGCCAGAGTATTTATTCAGAGGTCTTTTAATTTAAAATATATATTTATGTCTCAATTATGACAAGTTGGTAAATGAAACCATCACAACACAACCACCATCTCTCCCGTCACCCCAGAAGGTCATATCAGTTTTTTTGAAGGTTATACATTAGGACAAACAGTATCAATAACTCAAATACACTAATTTTATTTTTTAAGTGCTTAATTGGATATTTGGTTGGTTTATAAATAACTGGCCTCATATTAAATCAAGAGAAAAGAAAATTCACAAAAATAACATCTGAGTCGCAAATGCTTTGCTCAATGATCTGGAAAAGCTTAAAGATGATGATTGTGACTAGGACAAAAATTGCTAAAAACTTTAACTATCTGTTAATTGGCTTCTGAAAGTTACTGTCACTAGGAGGCAATAAAGGAAGATGACTGGACCTATTCAAAGGACATTGAGGCCAATTATTTCTACAATTTTGACAAACTGGTAACCAAGTATTGCCACTTTTTCTGTAAACATTACTAGCAGCTTATTAAAGTATAGTTTAATTTTCAGTGTTTTATTTTATTGTTAAATTAAAACCCTGAACTATGTATTACCATGTTGATATTAATGCTTCTGTCAACTCATTTTTTAAATCAGAACAAGCAGATAAAACTCTCAAAAGGAATTGCTTTAGTAATTTTAAAATATTCTTACAAGCTGATCAGACATTTATTTCAAATATGAAGATTAATTTTAAAAAACTAATTAACATCAAATAACATATTTTAATTTAAATTTCATTATTTATGAAAGAAGCAACATAAAATAAAGTGCCTATTAAAATCAACAATACTAAGGGAGCAACCAGAGCAAGACTTGGAGTCAAAATACTTGGACTCCGGCTTCATCGTTAACCCTTATAAAGAACACTTATATCCGGACTCCATTATCAACATCTACATTAATAGGGATAATGACCTCATCCGAGTCCTTCATGAGTTTTTGTGGGAATAAATTGAACTAATAATTATGGAAGTCTTTAGTAAACTAAAACATGAGCTGATCACACAAGTGTACAGTTTTCCTAAGAAGATCTATATTTGGGGTTTGGTATAATAAATATACGTGACAGCAGTGGTTAGGAGACCTGTATCTAGTGACAGCTCTATCATTAGTGGCTCAGCAGTTTGGGTGAGTGTCACTATTGCAACAACGATCGCTTCCACGAATAAACTGAAGGAGAAGAAAAACAAACTAAGCAATCCGTAAAGTCTCCTCAAACCCTATTATTCTATAAGTATGGAGAAAACCGTATAAGGAGGCGAAGAGTGGGTATAGAAAAAGACAACGATGCTGATCCCTCTGAAACTGGGACATTACACAAACACTGGCTAAAACAAAGATTATCTGATAGTCTCATATTATTACTAGAATAAGTACATAATTTCTAGCACCAAATATTTAATTATGGAGTGTGATGGTCAGTAAACATTACCAGTTTCTATACTGATGCATGAAGCGGGTTTTCCTTTAGGACAAGACATCATTTCCCAAGAATTAGCAAATGCCTGAGACGTCTTCTCCAATATATTCTGACTTGACATGAAATCATCCTCTGCTCTGTTGTTGTAGGAACCACAGAGTCCTGTATAGAGCATAGAACAAATATTAACATTGTCTCACCAACTCAACTTTTTGGATTCATTTCCTCACTTTGTATTCAGTTCTTTGCTCAAATCCAAACATGTAGAAGTAACTTGAGAGTATGTCTGTTAGTCTTTATACACATAAGCGAAACTTCATAACACTTCAGATTAATAACCCCTTTTATTCAAATTCCAGGAGCACTAAAATGCCATTTTCCATGAATATTGTGTTTTTCCTGTTTGTTGCTGTAACTTAACCTCCTTTGACAAGGTAGTAGCAAGCATGTTTACAAGTAGGAAGTTTACGACTGCACGTTTTCACAGTTTCAACGCAGAGAGCCGAATAATGTTAAGGGCTGTATTTCTTTCTTGTCTGGACCCTTCTGGCCCATGAGTTACATCTTTTTCCTGTGTAGAAATAAGTCACCTTCTCAAGTAAAGGTATATTACAAAAGTTTAGACAATTTTAAATTAATAACTGTAGGATTTGCCATTGTTTCGCTTGTTTTGTTCAACATCCATGACAATATATAAGAGCTGATTTCTATGACAGAAAAACCTCAGTGAAAGATATGACAATGTGACCTGTCAACCAACGGACAAGTTATAACATACCCTGTATTTGAAACTTGATTTTCAAAAGATTTATATCTATAATATTTTCATTTATTCTTCTAGAGGTCAAAGCTTTAGTAATGTATATTGGCAAAGTGATATATAACATATATCATCAAATCTCACTTAATAAAAGCCTTAATTTAAAAACCTTAAAATGTTTAAATTGTTGAAAATCATTTGGGAATAGATTTTGTGATAAATAAAGCTGTCTTTACTATAAGTTGGAATTATTTTACTGCAATACGGAAGGGAAGATTAAGTAAAAATGCTTTATGGTCTAATGTCGTTAACTGAGAGACGATTGAAAATTACGATAAATGATAGTCACATTAGAGCCTTGGAAATCAAACATACTCAGAGGACTTACCTACAGTGTCTGTGAATTGGTTGGGTGGCATGGAAACATACAATTGCATCACAGGAACAATTTGTATTTGCATTTTTACATGAAAGTAAGTTTCTACTTGAAGGTATGAGGAAGATGCTTTGAAGATCTGTATTTTGTCTGTTAAAATAATTATTAACATTAATAGCAATAATTAACATATTAAACAGTTTTTAATTTCTTAAAACGTTTTTATACCTTAATAATCTATTAAAAACAGAAACATTTAATATCCTTGAAAATTGAATAAATGAGTGCATCTTACATTTATTTTAAAATAGCATTATTAAACTTACCTGAATAGTAATAACTTTCATTTCTAATCTTGTCATTTGTGACTGTTCCATCTCTATTGAATACATATTTGTCAACTGAAACAGACTGATATTTAAAACACATTGTTAGTTCATATCAATTTACAATATTAATTCATTTTAATGCAATATCTGAACCTGAAATTTTGTGCCATAAAAACGTTGAATTTTTTGGATTGATTTATAAATATCGAAAATATAGAACATTTTAAAAGCATTCCTCATACTTTGCTTTGTTGTTTCTCTTAGAAATTCTTTGAGGAGGATTGTAAAGGACTCTTCATCCTCACTTTGTAGATGAGGAAACTGAGACCCAAGAAGGTAAGGTCGAATAGCTTGTAGGTGCCAAAGGCCAGGCTAGGTGTCCTCCCTGCCCATTTTGGTCTATTTCTACTTACAATGTCAGTTCCAAATACATGAAATTCTAAACAAATAGAATTGCCTTCTTAAATGAGTTTAATAATTTAATAAGCACATAAGGGCAATCTGTAATTAGCACCTTAGTTGTGTATCTATGGTAATTTTGACATACTTAAGGATCCTTGGAACTACCCAGCTCTTCTAGAGACTTTACCAATTTTCTGCACAATCTTATGTATGCTTTTAATTTATACAGTGAAGCCTTTCATCTTCAACTCAAAACTTCTGAATTTCTGAAGTAGTTGTTTTGATTTTGCTCTGAATAAACTTTAGGAAGCCGATTACTTACCGAATTCAAAAGAAGAGTCACACTATTTAAGCACGTTCCTGACTGACCACTTGGACATGGACGAAGCTCAACACTGACAGACCAATCTTCATCCTGTTAAAAGATGCATTTCATTGTAATGTTTACTAAAATGTCACTGATTATATATTACTATGTAATTCATTCACAATATACATTTGCTTTTCAAATATGCACAATTCCTACATACAATCAGTCTGCTCTGAAAATAGAAACCTAGTTCAGTCCATGGCACAGTCGAGCACTGGCCAAGAGCTTTACAGAAGGTCTGAGGATCGTGCGTAAGCTATATTTATGTGGTCTGTGATCGGTGGATTTTCACAGTCATCATTTTTTTTCTTTTATCATTACTTTTTGTCTTCTCCTTCAAGAGAATTGTGCTGCACTGTAGAGACTAATAGGAATTAGAGGTAACATAGCTTGTTTACTCTCTGGATAGTGCACAATGTCTATTTAAATCCAATGCAAGAGGTATTTAATTTGCAAAATCATAATATAAGTCATGTCAAACATTGACTTCCAGCTCTCATTTCAAGATCTAGAAATCTCTAATCTATATGGAGCAAATATTCCATATATTTTGGCATATTTCCCTCTCACTCTGCCCATCCCCTATCCTCATGGATTATGTGAGGAGCATAAAACAAGGGAAGAAGATGTGGAAAATTGACTTTTAGTAGCAGCACCTACATTTTTCAGATCACTGGATGTTGACCCACATCTCTCACTTCAGGAGTCACAAATTCTGTTCATCTTTGTTTCTTACCAGGAAGATTAAATAAAATTGCTTATTCTCATGCTAGCTAACAGCACAGGCTACAAAACCAAATCTCCCTTTTATCGAAATTCAAATCACTTAAAATTTTAGTACTGAAAAGAATCTAAATGTCAGGATAGCCTCTATCATACTGGTGATGCTATATTATAAAAACTAAAAATAGGGGCCTGGCTGGTGGCGCAGCAGTTAAGTTCGCACGTTCTGCTTCGGCGGCCCGGGGTTCACTGGTTCAGATTCCAGGTGCGGACATGGCACTGCTTGGCAAGCCATGCTGTAGTGGGTGTCCCACGTATAAAGCAGAGGAAGATGGGCATGGATGTTAGCTCAGGGCCAGTCTTCCTCAGCAAAAAGAGGAGGATTGGCAGCAGATGTTAGCTCAGGGCTAATCTTCCTCAAAAAAAAAAAAAACTAAAAATAAATGTAAAGGAATAATGCTGAAAGAGGAAGATGCTTTATGGAATGTAAAAGATAGTTTTATTTGGGGCACTAGTGAACAAATGTAAAGAAAAGTAAAAGAAGGAAATAGTTTTCCAGTGAATTTAGAAAATTATTAGTGATAAAGATGATTTTGTTTGCTTTTTGTTTAGCAGGGAATTTCTAAGGATCGCAGGTAATACTGATTGTCAATGTCAATATGTGATTGAAAACAGATACTGAAATATACAACCAATAATTGAAGGGCTGTTTGTTATTTATTTTTTTAAATAATAATTTAAAGTGAAGATTGTATTTTAAATTGGTTGAAAAATAGTTTGGTGTCTATATCAGTTTTCTCAAGTGTTCCAGGCTATTACATACATGGATGGCCAAGAAGTGACAGTTTCCAGGATGGTTGTATTTAACACCATCAAAGGTGGTAATTGAACTTCCTTCCACCTTACATCTGCCGGGACATAACGCTTCGGTGCAAGACCACTTTGCTTCTTGGCATGTGCTGTTAAAATGCAATGGTTATGTTAAAGGTCATCAACAGGGTTTTTTCTATGATATAAATAAATACCACAACATTAAAAAATCACAGCATAAATGAGGACATTAAGTTAAGCCTTATTAGAGCATCTTCATTTGCTACTCAACATCTCAGCTCTGATAAAAGTCTCATTGATGGTGGTATCCTGGGATTTTAAAAGACTTGCATTCCATTGACTAAAATAATAATTTCTGCCCGCATTAAACATAGAAAAACTCGTAAACTGGATTTCAGGGGTTTATTTAAATGGAACACATTTCATTTCTAGTATTAAAACACCTGCTACATGCCACATTGTAGACCTCCACTGTCCAACACAGTACAAAGACACATAGCTATTGATTATTTGAAATGAGGCTAGTGCAGACTGAGATCTACTGTATACGTAAAATACACACACACTTCGAAGACTTAATATGAAAAAAGATTGTAAAATCTAACTTTTTATGCTAATTTCATGTTGACACGACAATATTTTGGATATATAAATTACATGATTAAAATTAATTCCACCTGTTTGTTTCTCTTTGCTTTTTTAAAAGCTAAAAAAAGTTAAATTATATTAGTAGGTCATATTTGTGGCTCACATTATATTTCTCTTGGAAAGGACTGTTATAGACATACAATAAATCATAGCTTTTGTCATTCATAATTATTATTAATATAGTATTACCACACTAGCAGTACATTTCCTATTTATAGAGAGAATATTACAGTATAAATAATAGATTAGTTTTCATTGAAGCTGATTATTTCTCCACAAGAACATAGTACATTCCTAGAAAAGTCCTTTGGAGTCCCACAGAAATTTTGAGCTTCAGAGAAAAGTCATAATGAGGAATGGGGAAATCTCTCCGATCAGCATATTGTTGCTGAACTCAAAAGAAGAATCAAGCTATTCAATTAAAAGAGAAATAATCTATACTAACTTTTGGCACATTAAAATCCACTCTGGATTAAATATATCTTCCTCAGTGTAGCCTCATATAAAAATTATTTGAAAAGTGTTGGGTTATTTCTGATTGTACATTTTATTAAATACTCTTGGCAATTGGCATAATCATTGTTTCATTATTGCAACTATACTCTTGCAATATTTTTGGCTCTCTATTTGCAACCACCAATTGGTTTACTATTCAAAACACTATTTCAGTTGGTGAATCAACATTATCTTTTAAAAATACACAGAAAGTTCACACATTTTATATAAAAAACACACTAAACTTTCCTCGAAAAATAAAAGACAAAATATCAATGCAGAAAATGCAATGGAGCTGCTTTTTATTTCTGAAAAGTTGATTTTTAAGGGAGGAATTAGGAATTTTTTCAAATTAGGTAAAAATATTAGTATTATTTCACTGTCAATAAAATATGGACAGAAAGCACACTTACCACTGAGAACCACAAGGACCCTCTCGGACTTCTCCTGACTGATACACCTTTCCATTGGATTCACAAGGACACTCAGTTTTTAATACACATCTCCCTTTCTCTCCAATATCATCCAGTAGATAACCTAGAATACATTGTATAAGATTAATCTCAAAACTACATAACATCAGTAAATTCTCAAGCAGTATATTATGAAATCACTTGAGCTAGTTCTTTCAAGTGTAAAAACTGCAAGAGTGTAGATAATTTTCTGAGGCACAGAGCAGTCCTACTGAGCTCAATATAGGACTAGAGAATGATCTGAGGCGTACCACGGCTCTCAGGTACTGTAGAAACAAAAATACATCTTAACTTTAAAAGTCTCTCCACCCTTTCCACAGTTTGCTAAAAGGATAGATTACGAATAGGTGAATTCATTGAATACCTTCTTACAGAGGGGACCCCACTATACTTGAGTCACGTGACTTTCAGTAGTTTTAGTGTAAATATTTTCACAGAGTGTATTACCTTCCAGACAGGTGCAACCACTCACACATTCACTGTCTTGAAAAGGAGCCACATTAGAACAAGTTGCAGGATTTGAGGGTCCACATTCTTTGTAGATATGTTTTTCTGGGCATATAGGTTTTTCTGGAGAAATAGAGACATACGTATACATGGAAATTAGAGGGAAATGAATGTGATAAATGCAAAACATTCTAATGGAGAGCTTTTCAAATAGGATTCTTTGAGACTAATTTTCAAGATACAAGTCAGTCTTTAAAGATACTCAGTACAACTAAATTATGCCAATTTCCCATGCATTATTTTATGATTCAATATTTAACTTGGAGGAAATGCATATTATACATAATATCATTTCTTTATTACTTTGAAATTGATGTTCTACTTGTATTTTAACTTACAAGGATTGAGGTAAACATAAGCGGAAAGTATATTTATATTTGCATGAAACTCATATGTATGTTTTATTAATCTTTTTGAAAGAAAATCATGGCACTAATTAATATACTTTTGATAACTTTCCCAGTTATTCTTTTTAAAGTTTTTACAGAATTACTCATTTTCCCCAGTGACTTTTATTGATTGTAAAGACCATAAAGTTCCCAATTAACAACTTAATACAAAGTACTGTGACTTGGGGCAAGTCACTTCACCATAATAGTCCTCAGTTTCCTCATAAGCAAATGTGAGAGACAAGACTATCATCTCTAAGGACCTTTCCAGCGCTTACAGTCATTTGAGAGGATTACCTGAAACACAGCTCAACTTTAAAGTGCTATATAAAGTTCCCAATTTGGAATTTATAATAAAATTAAAAACTTACCACAAACTACTTCAGAATCATCTCGCCAGTATTCATAGGTGCCAGGACCATCAGAGGCACAGAGGCGGGACAACTCTGAGTAAGTGTCACATGTAGATTCTTTGCCTCCATTTTGGCAGTACTCATCAACACAAATCATTTTGTAGTCACTGGATAAAGCAGTAACCTTTCCACATTTCTCAAAGTAGGTTTCAATAATTTTGTTGCAGTGCTACAAAATAAAGCAAGAAGTTTTATTAAAACATAAGAAAAATTGGCAATCAATGAATATTTATGAGAAGATAAATTGAAAAGTGTTTTTTGCATAATATCCCATAGCTTTGACACGGAGAGTTGTTGAATGCTGGTTGAAATGGAGAGTTTTGAAGTATTACAGTTGGTACAGTGACTCCTCAAAGAACTCCACCTCTGGCATTTGGATTGCCATATAAGGACTTCAAAAATGGTTGTACCTAAACTTACCCAAAATTTCTCTAAAAGTGACAAGAAGTTTAGAACTCAAGAAAATGGAAAGGGTAAGAAAAGGAGAGATTGGGCAATGCCAGAGACTGATGGTAAGTGACTGATACCACAAGGGACAGAAGTGATACTCGCCCATTAACTGTTAATCTGTTTATATTTGATGAGCAAACAGATGACAGTAAAATACAGTGACTCTGCTTTCTTGGTAGGAACCATGTAAGTTTGCCCTGGAAACAACATATTTGTTTTCATGTTGCTTAAGGAACTAAAGACATATATTATTGAACCCCCCAAGACGTTCAAATTTCAACACATTTTAACTACCACATAGCTGTCTTCTATTTTAACCACGTTTGTTCTCAGAGAAACATAAAAGCTACTGTAAAACAAATGCACAATTTACACTAATTAAGCCCTAGGGCAACTGATAACATTCTCCAGGTGAGGTATAAAATTAAACGAAATAAAATTTTTTACAATTTTTTCTCATCTATTATCCTTTGTGTATCTTTCTCACTAGATTATAGTTCCTTTAGGGTAAGAAATATAACATTGTATCGTTAATACAATATAGTAGGTCATTATTAAATATACATTGGCTTTAACATAAATTTATATATTCATTCAACCAAATTTTTGAGCAACTGGAAGTAAGTTCTTACACACTATGCAACTACCACACAGATAAAACATCATTATTGAACTCAAAATCTTACAGGGAACATATGAGGAAAATACAGGAAATTTTTATAGACGGTATCTTATCATAAGTACCAATGAGTGGTATAGAGTGACATAGGAAAAGAAAAGGAATTCTAACTGCAAACACCAGTGGGGGGGGAGTTTCACACGGAAGATAGCAGATGAACTCATACAGTGTCATGGCTTAACTTGCTTTGCTAGAAGATGACAAGACAAATGCAATACCCATCATCAATAAAACAAAAGTCTCTTCTACCCATACTATCCATATATATCTTGATCTTGAGAATTTTGTTCTAGATTGAATAGGAATATGTAAACATTCATTCTGTCATCAAACAAATCTATCAAATTCAACATAGAATTACACAATGGTAGAAAATTCAGAGTAAATGATGACTATTTTTTCAAGTGTGTAGTCTAAAAGGCTATCTGTAACTTTTTCAAAAAGTAGGTAAAGGATATGGGGGATGACAATTCAGACTGGTTATTGGGGCAAACGCAGGGGAGTGAGAGTAGAAAGTAGTTCTTAGGGACACAGTACAAGGATTTCTAACTGAGGATCAAGTCAGTACCCATCAAGAGATAATAACGGAGAAGCAAAGCATGTCAGTTTACAGACAAACTAAAACATCGTGTAAAGGAAATTAGAATTGTTACACCAATATATAGTAAGTATCATGTCATTTTAGGAAAAACCCTTATTTTAGCATGTACAGCTAGACTAAAGCTGAGAAACAAACTACAGGGACATTGGAGTGGAAGCAGTTGCACAATTCTAAGAATAAGGTATGAGTGCTGGGAAGAGGATGTTGGCTATCTACACTGAAACCAAAGGAATAATACTGAAATTTTCTACGAGATGAAATATGAATTTCTTACCTGTACTCCATCTTCACAAACTTCGTAGCTTTTACTAACAGCATTGGGACAATCACCCGGAATTTTACTATTGGCAATGTGTTCGTTGATATTGTCTCCTTAAAAAGAAAGTAATGTTTAATTCAAAATGTTCATTATATATGTATGTCACTTTCAAGCTAACTATGGGCTTGGCAACATAAATATATTTTTCTATTTTAACAATTTCTAATTCTTTAGACAAACGCAAATTGTGCTAGATTTATCCAAATATGAGCAATTGCTTTATAATTTTCTTTTGGGGAACAATTTTCTTAGACATAATGCATTGAAATCTCACCTGGAGTGCTGTTGAAGTTACCACAAAGACCACAAGTTGAATATTGCTTGTGAAGAGTGAGCTTTTAAAAAAAATCACATGTATATGTTTATAAAATATTGAAACTATCTTGAGACAAAATTTACCCAAACAGAGGGGCAGGGACTCCTTGTGTTCAAGTCTACCCAAGCTGGTTACATACTCAGAATGTACTGCAGGGCCTCCTTTAAAGGACCTGGATCTAGAATTTGAAAAGGTCCTGACCCCACCTCTTACTTCACCTCTACTTATGTGTCTTTGGGCAGATTATTTAACTTTTGTTAGCCTGCATTTCCTTAGTTCCATCAACTGTAAAATAAAATTAATAATAGTAGGTACTTCAAGATATTTTAAATATTAAATAAGATCTTTAGTACAGTAACTAGTATATAAAGATTTCTCAACAAGCCTTAGCTCTTACTTTCCTTATCATGTATTGTTTTTCTAACTGACAGTAAAGAACGAAAAGCACAGGATTTTAAGAAAATCTTAGATGGACTTACTGAGAGTTTGTTATTTTTGTCCCACATTAAAGTCAGGATTCCTCTACGGCTATTCAAGACATTATGTTCTCCATATTTTTTAATGTGAATCAACTTATTGTTATATGGTATCTGTACACTGAAGAGTAGAAAATACGAGTACATTTAAAAGGTAAGAATAGTATTTTTATAACATGATTTTCTGATCATTCATGTTTCTATGTTTAGTATCATAAATATAATACTGGCTAGTAAACATTAAAGTTTTCTTTTTCTTATCATTTCAGAAGAGATACAATGGCTTTTTTCCAATTTTGGGAGAATTTTTAAGGAACAATGAGTAAATCTTTGGGGCTTTGGAGAAATGAACAAGAAGAAACTGGTTCAGTATAAGAAAAAAATGATCAAATAAGTTGAAAATTTCAGAAGTAGAATATTATGCCTCATTTTCTTATCCTGGAAAGTATTCAAATATGCTATCCCTTACAAATATGAATTGCTACTTCTAAAAATTGTAAAATTTTTATTTTTATTTGTATTATTTATTTATTGTATTTATTTAATTTATTGTATTATTTATTTGTATTGTAAAATCTCAGATTTATATTTAGTGTTAAACATCGAAATGAAAACTGAAATATTCTATTAACAATTTGGTTGAATATGCATATAGCCCAAAAATCTAGATACTCAAAATAGACAAACAACAGAACTACTCTTTTTTCCCAGCTTTATTATAGGAATAAATATAATATCATACAATCCCACATATAGCAAAGTGTTATACATTTTTCAAACTCTTATCTAAGAATTTATTATAAATATCAATATGAGCACCAAAATAGAAAGAGTACTATCTCTTCCATATTAAACATTTTTTTCTTTGTGTTCAGGTAACTTCAAGTAATTCTATAGAGTTTATCCAAAATACTATGACATTTACCTCTCTCCATTAACTAAAATGCCGTCACCCAAAATAGAGACGTCATTACTGTCGATTACAACTGTTATTCTTTCAATCTCATTATCATCATTTCGTTTGATCTCAACATTGAAATCTCCTCCAGAATCAACGCAGTGACGGCAGAAAGTGTACGTGCATGAAGACTCAAAGGAAAAGATCCGGCCATTGAAAGCCTTATACGCTCCTTTGCCCCAAGTTGAAGCTTCACCTAGAAGATATTTAGAGTAGAATATTCGTAACTGTATAGAAGAATTAATGTACTTTCTAGTGCTGATTTTTTAAAATGTTTATGTGCCAAGAAAAAAATCGTTGAAAAGTTCTATTCTCACAGCTACCACCTTAAATCGGAACTTTCTTTCTCTCATACGGTGGAGATACACTAAAAGTAGTCCCTGAGTCTTTTGAAACACCCAAATTTGGCTATTCTGGCTAAAACAACATATCAATAAAAACATCTAGTTTCCCATTGGAAAAGGAAATTATCTGTACTCTGAGGAGGGATGTACGGAGGGAGGATGTGGTTTGTTCTGCTTTTTGTAAAGAGTCGAATGTTGTCTAAGTGAGGTAGCATTTATATCAAACAAGTATAAAGAATTTATTACTTCTATACATTTATATGTATATATATGTATGTATGTATTTATGTATTGTCTGTGTATGTGTGCGTGTGTGTATATATTTAGAAGAAAAATGATACAAATCTGATGTCATTCAAACACACAATGATCAAATAGGGATGACAAATTTTTAAAACTCAAATTTTGGTTACTTTGTAACCTCGTTAGGTACTGGCTGGTTTGGGCATAAAAATATGGATAGAAATTAGAGTCATTTTTACTTACCAATAATTGCATCTGTTTCTGAGTATTTCGGAGTTGCTTCCGGAATATGGGATCCTTTTTCTATTGAACACAATCCATAGATTATTTAAATTTCAAGGTGTATGTTGATGTTAAATATACAGGATACTTGGACTTCTACATGGGAATTTAGAAGTTAATTTTGAAGGCCATCAGTGGGCTTCCTTATCCTGAATATATAATTTGATTATAGGAGAGCTGTGATTTGCTAAGGCCATGTACATGTTTATCTCTGAAATGCGTACTTTTTCTTGGAAAAAATCAGCCATAGTATGTTCAGAAGTCATTAAGGGCTTATTCATTTTGAGTCATGTACAATTACTAAGACATGCTGCATGCCCTACAGAACTATTTTTTCAACTTCAGAAAATAGAACTTTGCTAGCCTATTTTTTTGGAAGCCACTACCCAAAGAGGCCCAAGGTAGATTTTACTGTCGGTCTACTATATAATACTAATAATTGAATTTTCTATATATGAACAAAACTCAATTCTCCTGATCAAAGGGAATACCTTTGTATACCTTTAAACGTTAAGTTTCCCATGATTGTTTATTTTTAATGCACTGACCCTTTGGGGAACCAGATGAACTTATGTGAAATTTTAGAGCGAAGTCTAAACGCAAGCAGAATAGAACAACAATAATAACAAAAGGGAGTATTTTAATAGAATTTTAAAATATTTTTCACAATGCTATTTGTTGTATATTTTTAGGCCTCTTCTCTCTACTACAGGTTGTATTTACTCAGCTTGAGTGGAAATAAATTGAACTCATAATTTATTTATAAAGTCATTTTTAAAATAATATATCTAAAATGATAAAGGAGAAATTGCGCTATGTTTTATTCAGGGTCCCTTAAAATATAATTTAATCTCTATTATTTATGAAATTGTTTCAAATATCCAGCTGGTCATCTAAACTTTGCTACTCAAAGAGAAGAGCACTTAGAAGCTCAAATCACCATGAGAAACACATGATTATATCAAGTCCTAGAAAATTAATAGTCAACAGGGCATTTTATTTCAAAATTATATATATATCCATAAACACATATACATTACATATATATAAACTGTTTAAACACTGAAAGTCATAAATCAAACTACCTGGAGTACTGAGTGGTCCAGAGGTACTGTAGTCAGATGAGCTTGTGACACCTATTTTAATACAAAATGATTAGGCTGTTTCTGTGTATAATGTTACTTGGTAAAATAGGAGAAGTTTTTAAATTTGATGGATAAAACATGGATCCAATGTCAGCAATGCTAATGCTAGCAGACTTATAACCATGTGAAGCTGTATAAGAAAACAAATATTACCAACTCAGCAACCTGTTGGAGTAATAAAATTGAATGCCTCACCACTAAATGAACTGACTCTGAGTTAATTGCCTTAGAAGTTGTTCAGGGAAAGAGAAAAAGGCTTAATAGACAAGGTTCTAAGTCTCCTATCCCAGTTTCAACCAAACTTACTCCTACTTTGAATTGTTTTACATTGGGGAAATCTAGGTACCCTTTCAAGATGTCAACTGAGCAAAGGATTGTGCATTCACAGAAACTGGAAGTATGAAAACCACTAATCTAGATGAACTAAGATGCTCATATCAAGATGCTTAATGTCAAGAGATATTAACGTCAAGAGATACAGAACCTGCTATTTCAAAGCAACTAGATTTATTGCCATTAGCTACACTACCAAAAAGAATACTAATTCATAAAGTCTATCTGATTTGGAAAAATGAAAGCAGTTGAAAACTGACAACCAAATAGCAGAAAAATCTCAAATTGATAACAACTCCACAATAGAAATATAAGAGGCCATTACTTCTTAGTACATTTCTCAGGAACAAAACCTAAATTTGAACACCTGAGCTATTGGCAGCAGACCTGGGGTTCACAAATTCAGCGTCTCTTAAACCGTTTGTACCAACCGTGCTTAAACAAAATCAGTGGCAATAAATAATGACTGACTTAAATTTCTTAGTTCCATTGAAATGTTGATCGCAAAATTGATATCCAAAGGCCAAGAACAACCCAAAGTAAAATTATTATTTCTGTATGATCAAGCCTTTTTGAATAGATTCATTGACAGTCAATCCTGACTGAGGTCAACCGTTACAAGACTAGACTATATCTCTTGCTAACTAGATTTCACTAAAAAAAAAAAAGGGAAAAAAGTACTAATCCTAAATTTGAGTTCTAAATATGAATCCTGGATATTTTTCAGAACACTCATGTCATTAGAAGTGGATTTTCTGCCCACAGTTCCATGATCATTTAGTCTAGCGGCTGCCAAGACTTTCCGACACTGCTAATAGCATCAAAATCATAATAAAAATTCTTCTAACAGTGTGTACCACAAATCCCAAGACTATTTAATCTAATGTTTCCGTTAAGTAGAAATATTACATTTTATGAGATTTTCAAAAAGGATGAAACTTGTTTACTCTTCTCTGGAATGGACTTGCAAAAATAACTTAAGCCACCAAGACCGGATGCAGGATGCAATGCTCAAGCCCCAAAAATCAGCTGCTACTCTAAATGCCTCTTCAACTTGTGCAACTCCAAATCCATTTTGCATAAAGGCAACAGAAACAATTCCACATCAATATATCCACAGCCACAAAACAAGTTCCACAACCTATGCCAACAAATATTAAATGGCTTTTGCCTGATCATATCCAAACACATTTCAGGATTTGGGGCTTGCTTTCTATATTATTATTAATAATGTTTATGATTATCACTGTTATTTTAAAATGTGTGTTAGACTCCTGACTTTCTAATCGTCAGAAATAAATCTCAATTCCGAAGCCTTGGGAACCAGATCCAGTAACATCCTTTCTAGTATCACAGGTACCTGTACCACTAAGGCCAGTTTCATCAAATTCATTTGGTTCAGAAGCACCAACACCAACACCAGCTTCACGCTTCCTTCCTCCACCACTTCCAGAACCAGAAGACCAAATGTATCCTCCTAATGGAAAATCAAAATGTGATTAAAAGAAATAAAGAAGGAAGAAATTAATTTGGGTTCTTGGGAATAGAGTCCAAGTTAGGATACCTGAGCCACTGACATCAGATCCAGGACTCAAGTATCCATCCCCAGCATATCCACTGCTATCATCTCCATTCCCTCCAATTCCACTGAGTCCAAATCCCCGTTGATAAGAAGACCCCAAATAGAATCCTGAATCTTCAGCGACACCATCAGAATATTCAGAATATTCACTATTTCTTGAACTTGATCCACCTGCTGAATACAAAATGACGGTCACAAGAATTACTTTCAATGAATACCATGATTCAGAATTGTTCTGTGCAGAGAAATTAACCATCAATACCTAGAGCACTGAAACTAGAGCCTCCCTAACCTCCTACTCCATTTCCGTCAAAGTAGGTACCACCACAGCCATTGTCACCAAATCTGTTTGAACCAGAATTTTCAAAAGGAAATTTAGTTCCACCTTTCCTTTCTCCATTTACAAAGTTAGAAAACTAGGTCCTTCTCTCTAAGGGAAACTAAAATGTTATTTTAAAAAATAATGAAATTTTGAAATCCATTTCAATTTCAGAATGCCTGAGTTATGGGCACTGGACCTGAAAATGATGGATCCAGGCCCAACAGCCATGTTGCTGCCCATTCTATCAGTTATCTGCCTTCAGATTCCTTTTCACCAAATGCCCAAACACCAAATCCAAATTCAAACCAGAAGCTCCAAAACCAAATGCAGCATCACCATTCCCTGCTCCAAGTTCCCAAGCAAAAACCTGGTTCCAACTGATGAAAAAATCAAAATTTTATTAAAAATTAATCCTCATTAATTAACTAGATTTTTGATAAATGTTATTTTTTTAAAGAGGTATTTTAACTGGTTAATTATAAATTTTCCCGAATGAGTCTTATTTGGAATACCTGAGCTACTGGCATCATAGTCAAGGCCCTTGAATCCAGCCCCAACAAATCCACTGCCACTCATTGCATCTCCTCCAATTTCATTGATTCCAAATCCCTGTTGATCAGAAGCCCCTAAATTGGATTCAAAATTTCCAAAGCTATCACCAACAAATATATTCTCACTTCTCAAACTGGTGTCACCTGCAGAATATAAAATGATTGTCACAGAGCATATTGCAAACATTTTATGATTCAGAAATTTCTATGCACGAGAATGAGATAGCAATCCCTAGGTCACTGGAAACAGATCTGCCAGACCACCCATTCAATTTCCTTCAACTGTTTTGCTACTAATGCCACTATTACCAAATGAACTTGAACCAGCAGCCCCAAAACTAAATGTAGCATTGCCCTTCCCTGCTCCAAGTTCCTAACCAAAAGACTCAGTTCCAACTGATGGAAAAATCAAATGTTATTAAAAATTAATCTTCATTTGTTAGTTTGCTGTTAAAATGTTAAAGAAAAGGAGTTTTAACCAATCACTTAATTTAATTAATTTTAAGTTTTCTTGGAAGAATCTTAGTTGGAATATGTGCGCCACAGGCATCTGATCAGAAACCTATGGATTCACCCCCAGCAGATGCTCTGCTGCTCATGTCAACTCCAGTCAGCTCTACTGATTTCCAGTCTCTTTTGACCAGATGTCCCCAAACCAAATCCCAGATTTCCAGAGAAGCTGCTGTTAACTCCAGCCCCACTTCTTGTGTTAATGCTATCTACTGAAATAAAAAAAGATTGTCACCAGGGAATATATAAACACAACTTAAGGCTCTTTACTTTTTATGTGCAAAGCCTAAATGGTAACACTGAGATAACGAGAACTTGATTTTCCGCTGTTCTCTATTTCATCTTTACCAACGTTTTTTTTCCTTCAAGACAACTGGAACCACCTCCACATGAGCCAGAACTACCAAGATCAAATCCAAATTCATGCTTCTTTTCACCACCAAGTCCAAAATCAAAAGGCAAATGGAAGACTAAACTTATCAGGAGCAATTAAAAACTGATGTAAATTATTTGCATTTTTTCTGATAAAGTCTGGATAAGAATTCCTGATCCACTGACATAAAAGCCAAAGCTCATGAATTTATCAACAAACTCCTGGCAATTCTTCCTGTTTCCACCAATTTCCACATTTTTTGAGATAAATTGCTCCGACACGAAAATACTTAGATTTGCTTTACTTTATTGACCATCACTTCTTTCACTGGCTTTAATTTCTGGATATAAAATGCTATTTACCTGCACTTTTGTGAATTTATTCTTTCTGGCAATCTTTTTCAAGAAATCCAGTTTAAATATGAGTAATAGAACTTAAAAAGTTAGCCTTGCAAAAGCCAGAAAGAGACATGAGACCAAAATTTTTCTGTTCCTTGTGATAAAACCAGGAAACAGAGTTTAAGTGGCTTTCCCAAAGTCCAGAGAGGGTTAGTGAGAAAGACTGGGAATAAAAACTGGATCTCTTCCTTCCAAGTCCAAGCTCCTTCATAAAAGCACTAAATCTACTTGCCTCTTCACTAAAATGTTGAAATTGCTGATTTCTGTTAAACATAACACAGATCCTTTAAGAATCACACAGTTTAAAAATCTTCCTCATGAGTTCCTTTAACGCTAAATCTGTATTGGTCCAAAACTACACCACAAATCCCTGTTTGGCTAGTGGATTTATTTTTCTGTCAAAAACAGAAACTAAGAAACAACGTAGAATACCTGTGTCACTAGCAGCAGAATCAGAGCCAGCTAATCCGTATACATCATCCACATCAAATCCACTCTGGCCATATGGACCCCTACCGATTTCATTTTGGTTTGAAGCAATGCCACCAAATTCCGTACCACCAGAGACAAGGTTGACAAGATCGCTTGCCGAATTGGTTTCCTCTACCATACAAAAATACAATCATTATCAGAGAAAAGTTGCATTCATTCATATTGTATAAGAAATTAATGTATGTACATACATTGCTTGAACTAGGCCTACATTATAGTTTTGAATGTATCCTCCCCCTCTTCTCCATGTATCTTTCTCTATAAATTTCCACCCAGTATAATCAGGGGTGTGCACGGCAACCAATTTACCGTGAGGTTTGAATGAATTCCGTAAGAAAAGTGAAGCATTGGAGCCATTTAAGATAAAGTTTCACTGTGTTCTATAGAGCATGAACAAAGAACACCTCAGTATTGTAAACAAGAGCAAATACATCTGCGTAAACTTACTCGTCATACTGAGTTTGTCAATCCCAAAATAGATAACTAGACAGACAGGAAACTTTTGTGATCTTCCTAAAGATATTTCAACCTCACCTCTACACCTAAAGCTGTTTCTCCCTTTTCAGTTAGCACCACCTGAACTCAAATATCAAATTTTAATATAAAATATTGAAGTTATTTTCCTCATTGGATCTCCTTCTTTCCAATTTTTGTAGAGATATGAACTATGAGATTTACGGGACCAGGCAAGTAAAGTGGAAGTTGGAATCAGCCAATAGGGAGAAGTGTGTTGAATCAGAGAGGCTGTGCCCCACCTAAAGAAATTTAAATGTTTTTCCAAATGAAACAAAGTTGCAGGCCACAAACTAATTAGAAATCCTGCTTTATAATATTACATGGCAAATTGAGTATGCAATTTAAAGAGAGAATCCTAGTATAGAAAATGAATTGTGTTTGGAGACAGAAATGTGACTAGAGAGTCCTTGCACTAAATTTGGGTCCAGGAAGCATTTTAAATTATGAATTCATATGGCATAAAAATAATTGATCACCACAATAAAAGTACTAAGTAGAACGATAGCATAGAAAGTAAAAATCACCAGGAAAAAACTTAATTTACTGTAAACATCTTTGCGAAAATTCTCTAAAGACAGAACTCATTACTCTCGTTGGCACCAGAATTGGTGCCACTGGTTCTCCACTATTACTATTAAGCCCGTGTGCTGCAAATCAAACAAAGATCATCAGATTATCCCAAATGAAAAAAGGCGCTGGTTTCCTAGGTAAGCACTTTCTCTAACAGTACCTGCAGGGGTGTCTTCTAACTCTAAACTAGTAATGTCTTGAGGTTCTCTCCACCTGTCTTCAGCCTCTCCTGAAGCACTAATTCCAGTGTTAAGGAGTGAAATAAGAGATTTCTTTCTTCTGTCTGAGTCACCAAAGGACGAACTACCGAGCAAAAAGCCACCTAATGTGAATAACAGAAGATTTTATTTGAGTACAGTATTGTAAACACAAGGGTGATTTGATTGTGAATATGAAAAGACGTATTTTATTTCATGTAAGTCTCCTTATTCTGGCAGCACTTAGCACAACAGATACCTTTATTGACCTAATCATCATATCTATACCATTTTGTCCTAGTTCTAAGACTTCAAGAAAGAAAGATGAACACAGCTGTGAAGATTTGGTCAATGTGTACTAGAAACTCTTCTTCTCATGGACAGGCCAGACACTTCCCTGTCTGCTTCCTTCTCCTTTACTAAGCCAAAGTTCCAGTGTCCACACTTCCCTCATCAAAATATTCTGCCATGATGAATCCACGCTGTCCTTGGCTTAGCAACAGCTGATAAAAATTAAGATGACATACCTGATTCTCTTTTCTGTATTTCTGCAAAGAAAAAAAGATGAAAATATTTACTCATAAATTAATTGTAGCATTCACCTCCTTCAAGACTTAGGTTAAATGTCATATCAACGAGGCATACTCACAATTTAAAATTGCAACCCCACCCCCATTCTAACACTCTCAAACATCAATCCTATTACTCTAATTTATTCCATAGGTTTTATCTCCTTGTAATATACCATGTTTACTACTTATAGTGTTTATTCTTTATTGGCTGTCTCCTTCTAGATTTTTAAGCTCCATAAACTCAAGATTTTTTGCCTGTTTAACTCACTAAGGTAATCCAGGTGTCTAGAACAGTGCCTGAACCCTAGAGGACACTCAAGTAACATTTACTTAATAAATGCACTCACCGACAAAGACCTCTTGCTAAGACAATATACTGTGTATCACATGAAGCATAGTGTGCTTTCTGTCATACCATTTATATTTTTTTAAATCTCTACGATAAAATTAAAATAATTTAGAATAAATAACACCTTAATAACTATGATATTCCTGTAAAGTTGTGAAAGACATGCCTTTTGAGCACCAAATAGACTAGAAAATGAAATGCATAATTTGGAAGTAAAATTTGAAGACTGAGACAATTCTCCCTGTTGAAAATAAGGGAAAAGAGACTCCCCTTCTCTTTTTTTAGATGATTTACTTTAGAAAATTTCTGAGTTCTTTCTTTACCTATTTGAGATGTTTATAATCTTTTTAAAGGCCATATAAGTGTGGAGGATCAGAATTGCCATCCTAAAGTGTGTCTCTTTTGCTTGATTATTTTTAAGAACAAAAGACTCGGGAAGAAACTTTGACCTTCCCTCAACTGCCTAAAAGAATTTAAGATAGAACGCCTGTTCCAGGAACGATCTAATACCATAAGTATAGTAGAATATAAACTAGGTGATACCAACAAGGGCTCTTTAATCAAAGTCCTCTGCATCTCTCGCTGTCTTTGCAAGGCATGGTAAACATTTGTTTATCAAACATTTACTTTTCCATCTCCATGTAAATTGCCTTCCTCCTCTTTGAAGTCCCAAACCACCTACCCAACATCCTCCTTTATCTTTAGCTGAAGATAGTATTTAAGGTGGTGGCTTCAGCCATTTTAGTGAGTTACACAGTTTTCTTGGGTTTCTCCCATGTATATATGTTATTAAACTTTGTTTTATTTTCTCCTGTTATTCTGTCTCATGTCCATTTAATTCTCAGGCCAGCCAGAAGGACCTAGAGGATAGAGGAGTAGTTCTTCCTCTCCTACAGTTTAGTGACCAGGATGGGATAAAACTTCACTGGCAGGACAATGCTTGGTCCTGCAGCTGAGAGATCCTGGACCTCTGACAGGAGCCAGCAGAGGCTAAGAGTTCTTACCAAATCAGTCTCCCAGATCTTTGCCTGCAGCGTTCAGTGGAAGCAGAGTGGTGAGGGTTTTTTGGGTTTGTTTCCTTTTCTAAATTTAGATTAGCAGGAGAAAATATTGACAAAGCTTCTTGGACTCAGCAATTTTGGGAAATTTGGTTTAAGTACTCATTGGTTTATTGATCCTTCTCCTCCCAGAGATGGTCCCTATTTTTCCTTCTCTTTGTCTTTTGTATCATTTGTTATAAAAAGGAAAAACTGCAAGATGCAGGCATCCCAATAAGCCTGTTGTCTGGGCCAGGCTTCAGTAAACTTTGTTGTGGATTAATATGGCATGAGGTAAAAGCTGTTGCTAGGGGGCATCTTGGAAGCCAAAGAGGCCATAATATTGGTGGGCATGGGTCAAACAGTTAAGCTCCACTAAGCTGCTCACCACCTCAAGAAGATTCCCTTGATAGGATAAGCTGGTCATGTAATGGGGTAGATGACACAAGTCCTCCACCAACTTCAAGGAAATTTCCATCCAACGAAGTACTCTGTAAAACACACACAATCCCCAACCCCAAGGCACTTCCCTCCTAGGCATTAGTTTAGCTCCAAAAGACCCAAGCCTTAGCTAAAACTGTTAATGTGCATATAAGATGAGGTTTTTTTCCTTTTTTTTGTTCTATGTCTTGAGAGCTTGGCTTTATGATCTTTCTTGTCTCCACCATTTGAAGGATGCACATACTGGTGTGCATCTTGGCAGCCAGTCAAATAGACAAGGGTTCTGAGATGCATTCTTTTTGTCCTGCTGTAACAGCTCTCAGGGGAGTTGATTATAAGAGGTCCCACTTGCTTTTGTAATGGGCCTTTGTCATCTCAACCTTTGTTCGTTGTTATTGCTGGCACTATACCATCCTTACTGCCTGTGCAACAAAGGCCTTTGCCTTCTTAGACTATTTTTGGGAGTGAACTTTCTGGATTTTGTGAGGGCTGCTTCTTTTGCACTCTTTTTTGGGGATGCCTCTTGCATCCATGGTTAAGCCATAAAAAGCTTATTGGTTTGAGTCTCTAGTAAGATCCTACTCATCAATGGCCAATCATTTAAATCAGAAAAACTTCTAAATTCGAAAAACTTTTTAGAGAGCTCTCTTCATAGTTGTTTTGTTGGTACCTATGAAAATACCACATTAAAAAAGAAAGACAAAGAAGTAATAACTAGCCTTAAGAACTTAATCAAATTTGGGGTCCCAGCTTCCTCTCAAGTTCTTATAGATGCTAATGAAAGCTCCACATCCCACCCCACCCCCACACTGAGTAAATTGGCCTAGAGCTGAATTTGGCACGTGGAAATATGGCCTTTGTTAACACTTTGTGCAGAATTTTTAAAGGTGCAATACATTGTCTTGAAGTTTTAGAACATAAAAATCTTTTGATTCACCTCTTAAGTTAAAAATCTCCCTGATGTAAAGAAGCAATTTAAAAAATGTAGCTGGAAGCGTGTATCAATCTCTTTTATCATTCAGACTGTAACCCAGTTCTTTGGGAAACTGGAAACAGCCATCTTTGTCTTAGAAATCTCTGCAGGGCCAGCGGTATGGTTCTAGAAAGCAGTTCAAAGTTCACTTGTACTTTCACCAATCCCAGAGTCTCCCCTATTCCTCTCAAAATGGTCATAGGTATTGTGACCTTAGAAACTGATAAGGCAAATATACCCCAGAAACTCCATCTTGGAGAAAACTTGAATGCTTTCTCTGTGTGTTTGTGATGCAGATTTTCTGTTCCCATCTTCTCTAGAACCTGAGAGCCATTCTTTGAAATTCAAATGTTTCTCAACAAAGGAAAAAGTAGTCTTAGGCATTTAAGCAGTTAAACGTAAACTTTCCAGCTACCCAAACAGAATTTGGATCTACCTATTTTATAAACTAGTGCATTTTTCATTGCACTTGATTTATAGTAAAAATTTAACAGAATCTATAATGTCTCTGTCTGTGTCTACCTGTGTGTTTATGTGTTTGTCTATATATGTGTATTATAGATACATGATATGTTTCTACTCCAGATGGTATAATTTCCAAAAGAGCTCCATTTAGTTGGCTTAGAGTAAGCTCCTATATAAATTAGTGATAGAAACTGAAATGTTTTTCAAACTAACATGATATAAATTAATCTTTAGTAAATGAAAGCTTATTTAAGCTTATTGGTTTGATTAAAGTAGGTATGTCCTTTGGGTTATCAATATTGGATATGATGTAGACATGCAGCCTTTATTATTCAAATAAGCTCATGTTATCTCTGTTACAAAATTTATCAGCAAAAATAATAACTTAAAATGATATTTAATTTTGTCCAAGGTCTCATGAACTTTTTGTGGGTAATCTAAATATAATTGTTAGGAGCAAACAATTTAAATGTAAGTGAGACAAGTGTTTATAGATAAACTTTTAACAATAGTGGTACTTTATGGCACCTGTATTTAAAATAACTGTTGGTAACTTGAAACTTTGAAGTTTTGCTAGACTAAATTAAATGATGAAAAATTCATTGAATATCTAGGTCATTTACAAATAAGATAAAATGCTAAAATATTAATTGCTAAATATGTCTATGTTTACCTACTTTTGTCTTATTACAGAGAAACTAAAAACTGTTTGGGTCTATTAATAAACATGTTGTATTTTACTATGAAGTAGCATGTTTCTAGAAATTATAAAAAGTATTTATAAATTTGCAAAGCCACAAAATGCTGCTGTAAAAGACAATTTATAGTTGCTTACTTATTAGTTTTCACTAAGAATTAATATCTGTAAGGGTTAAAAATTCTAATTGATATATGTGATTAAAGCTACTAAAAACTAATAAGGAAAACATGTTTGTACTCAAGGAAAGTAATATGTATGTTTTCAGTAAAAAGAAAAAGAGAAAGAGAAGTATAGGAGGTTTGTAGAAGAGGAACTCTGAAAAAAGTGTTTTGTGCATGGTCAAGTTGGGTAAGATTGAAATGAATTTAATTAAGTGAATGAGTTTTAATATCAAAAGTAAGCTGGTGTAAAATTGGAATTTGGGTTTGTCTCTTAAAAGGGTAATTTTATTAAACTTTTAGTCTGTTCTTGATAAAGAAATTACAAACAGTTTTTCTTTATTTTTGAGTAAATCTATGTAAAAGACAGAAATTCTACTATTTGCCAAAATAATTTCCTATGTTCAAAAAGACTGAGCTTTCTTTATTAAGAGAACTAAGGGTTTTTTTTTTTTTAACTGCTTAACTCTCTTATGCTTGCCTTTAACACCTTCTGTTGTCACTTTGTTTAAATGGATAACCATTAAATGGATAAGCATTGTTTCATAGAAACCTATGATATTATGTAGGTAAATGTTATTGATACAATTGTTTTAAAAATTATATAACAGCCCTAAAATTCTGATCTGTCCTTGTTATCAGTCATAATTCTAGTTATTATGTTAAAATATTATATGTCACAATAGTAACCAAATTTCTTTTGTTAATTGCCATTTTTAAGTCTTTTGTCATTTACAGACAGCTTTGGGGTTTTTTTGAAGATTGGCCCTGAGCTAACATCTGTTGCCAATCTTCCTCTTTTTCTTTTTTCTCCCCAAAGCCCCAGTACATAGTTGTATATCCTAGTTACAAA